CGAAATCGATTCAGTAGAATCGCCAAACGAGCGACCACAAAATTTATGTTAGCGTATTAGTATGGAGATTTAAAATTTCAATGCTAATTTCCCTTGCTTTACTCACCAAAAATTCTTCAACAAATGCAATGAAAAAACCTTTTTTTATTTTTGTATAGTTAAACGCATATTTATTCGTTCTCTCAACAATATACTGTTACCTTCACCTGTTAACATTTGCTCTTGCATTATAGGTTTAGTTATCCATTCAGTTTTCTTTTCATCAGCTGCCTTCTTAACAATCGCACATTACATTTTCGTAATCATTCCCATTTTTCACTTAATATCTACATAAATGTACTAAACTAAATTCACAATATTAGCTTAAGTATTACAAAAATATTTATCTTATTATTTCTGTTTTTCTCTTTTCATAAATGTATTTATTTATATCCTAAGCCAATTCCTTTTTTCCTTTTCACACACTTATGTATGTTTTGAAAGAACATATGTATCTATTTTTAGACGACGTATAGTTTTACAATTAGTTAGCAATTTTAAGATATTTTGATAAAAAATTATAGTTTAGAGTTTAAGTTAAAATTTTACGTGTTCATTTGTATTCCATTTTGTTTTAGTTTCGGAAATACAATTGAACTTAGATGTTAACGCTTTACTCATATTACACGTGTATGTGTGACCTGACTCCCACACACATGGATAGGCTTATTTATACTTATACTACATAACTAACTATTTAGGAGAGTACGTTGTATGACACATACTCGAATTTTAGATTTTTTATCTATTTCCTGTATAAAAAAGTTTTTTTTTTTTTGGAGATTTTAAAGTACCCAACGCTAAACTATATTCTTCTTATAACTATTAAAAGAGCATATTTATGTATTAAAAATTGGTTTATATTTTATCATCATTAGTTGTTTATGTTTACTGTTGTTTCTATGTATTTATATAAATGGAATTTCCTTATATCTATGTAATTTAGTTTATAATTTTAAAGTTTCGAAGTATTCAGCACGTAAAATTCGCAGGGTTGGTTAAATAAGCGGAAACAGTAGATATACATTAGAGTGGTTCAAAAACACTATTTTTTGGAAATTCATAAACCCTACATCAAAATATATTAAAACTCATTCTTGTTAAAATAAAGTTTTGAGTTTAGGATATATTTTTAGGTTGTGCCAATCATAGGTATCTTTGAAACAGCTTTTAATTAAGATGAGAGAGAACAGAGATATCCGCTGCAGGATTGCGAGTTTAGCAAGCCGGGGAGTCGTGAGTTCGAATCGAGTTTCGAAGAAATTCAATCATTTTTTAAAAAATAGATCGCCATATTGGTACCATTTTGAATTTTGAAAAACTGACATCAGATTTGTAATCAGAACCCCCAGAGACCTTCTTAAGTCTTAACCCATGAAAATGCTTAAACCTTCTAAATTTTAGCAGTCTCTTTTAGAAGGCATATTTTCGAAAATGTGTTAAATATATCAAATTTTAAATGCATAACGCCTAAATCCTACACTGAGGGGAAAAAATATTAAAATCAAATAGAAACGTAATTGATCTTACTATAAACGTCAACGAAGTACTGTATATTGGTAAATATTCATTTCAATTACGCGAATATTAAAATGACCGCGTTCGTACTGAAAAAGTATCCGTGAAGTGAATAATCAAGACAAAAACTAAAAGAAAAAACAAATATTAATTTGCATGTTGCCTGCAGTGGAATTCGAACCCGACCATCTCCGGATATCAACAACTTGTGGCAAGCATCTTTGCGCACTCAGCGACACCCAGGCATATAAATTTGCTTTCAAATGTTGAATATTCATCAACACGACAGCACTCGATTTGTACAGATAAACATGTATGTACTCTCAGAGCGGTGCTCTGCATGCTTGGGGTGCATATGTACACTTACATATCCATACTCAGATGTGAACAGTAAAATACGTGCGTAATAAATTTTGTATGAAAATATTATTTTTAAATACGAACCTTTTTAAACGATAATGAAATATAAAGTATTCATTTTTACTATGCATTATTTCCCTCAGTGTAATTAATGAAACATTAAAAAGTTTATTTTTTTCATATTAAAAAAATTTACAAATAAAAGAATAATAATAATTTATATGTTGGATATTTTATAAATAAAATTTATTTCTGACTAACTATCTACTTGATTGGAGCTATAACCGCCAGCCTAAGCGAATTTGGTTGAGATCAGTATGGCGCACCAACTGAAGCCAGGGGGTACAGCCGCGAAAACTTCTAAAGCTGGATCTGTACCACTAATTTTTACAACATATAAACCAGCATATCCACGGTATCTTAATTAAACGTACTCTGCCTTTGTCGTTGTAAACCTCAGTCAGCTCGTCTTTCAACACTTCTTAGCGCTATGACTTTAAGTAACCCTATCGATCGTATCACACTTTTGACCATCGTATCTTTATCATTCTAACTAAGCGCTTGCCAAATAAGTCAAATATCTCTTCGATAAAGCATAAAGTTTCGCTACATTTTAATCCTTGAAATTCGTTCTCCAGCAAAATCGTTACCAAGATAAGCGATGTGAAATTTAACATATAAAATATTAAGTGTTGAAATTTGTTTGGTCAGTTCAAAATTATTATTACAGTTTACCCTGGAAATTTGTAAAAGTCATCGTATCTCTTATGGTTTAGTCTTAAATCGATATGATCTCTTGTTTGCATACATAAAATATTTTACAAATAATTTGGGGTATTCACAACGGAGTCGTAAGTGTCGTATTGTTTTATGTCGGAAATCTTAAGCGATTAAATATATGTGTATAGGATTTGAAATTTAGGGTACATTACGAACCTCCTAAATATATTTTTAGTCGTTTCAAGTGTACGATTTTCAACAATAGGATACTTACGACAGTGTTGTGAATACCCCAATTATTTCCTGCTAGTCGTATAAATTTGTTTGGTTTCTTGAAGTAGCGATATGCTTATTTTATTTCATTTCGTTTAATTTAATTTAATTTAGTTTATTTTAATTTAATTTAATTATATTTCATTTCATTTTGTTTTACTTTATTATTATACCCGAGCGCACTTGTGCACAAGGGTATTATAACTTTGTT